TCAACATGGAGGGAAAACCTTTCCAGGAGTCTGACAACTCAAGACCACAAAGTCCCTATTTTTCTGCATGAACAGACTTTTATAAGAGTTTACGAACACAGCTAAATCAGAGGCAAAATCTCTTGTCCCAAAAAAGACTTTGAGACTATGCGCCAAATCACTCGCTTCACCCTGAAGTGGTACAAAGATTATGCACCACTGCAAAACATCCTCTGTCTTCCTCACACTGTCTCTCTCATAGTAGGTTCATTTGGATTGACATGGTATGAAACAGAAAATCAATGTAGGAAATTTTAGGATATACTGTAAAAGCCCAGCAAGAAACACAGAAGGCAAAATGGGACAGTCATATAATAGGAAGTTTCTAGGAAATAGTGCTACCAAACTCATCAATCTCAATGGTAGCAGAACCCTGAAGATCCCCAGTGTTCTGCAGGAACACCACACTGTGTTGCCAAATATAATCTGTGTTAACCATTCCTTTCTTCCCTGAAGCATTAATTCAAATACCAGCAATTCAAGCTGACTTAGTGCAAAACTATTTAGTAGAATACACAAAAGCAATAACTAAGCATTAACTCCTGTCAACAAACAATACACACATTCCAGCAGCTCCTTTTAGACCATCCAAATGACAAAATACTACTTTGTTTTCTCCACTCTCAGTTTTCATGACAATTATCCATTAGCAAACCCTCCTCACTAAGAAACTGAGGAGGAACAGAAAAGTAACTCAGTTCACATGAGGAATCAAAAAATCCAAATGCCAGTGCTGTAAAACATGAAGCAATCAAACACTTAAGAATACTGAAAAACATCCAAGTATATGTAAGAACACAAGGATTTCATCCTACTCACAATAAATTCATTCTTTTAAGAAAAGAAATTAAGTTTTCTCTCTTTGTCAAGACAACATAGCTTGAATCTTTATAACACGTATTTTCTACAATAACCACAGCAAATACACTTTATGCCAAAAACCCAGAAATGTTTCTATTCTCCATCAGTGTCCAAGACTTTATTAAAAAGGCTGCCACTCAAAGTAACACATACCTTATGCAATAACCTATTTTGTATCCAGAGGAACAAGATACATGTAAAATTTTCAATAGGTAACATTCAGCAAATGACTTGAAATGTTCTTTCCAGAAGATAAGTACAATTTTCTGCTGGAACAGAAACCTTATCACTTCCTGAAACTACACTCAGATGCAACAGTCCCACAGCTTCTCATGGGTGGAAGAAGTATGTAAATCTCTGCACATCTGGACATGTTCAATTGTTAATAGAAAATAATCAAATTGTTGTTGGCTAATTTTGTGTCTTTTTTAAGCATGCAAAGAAGTCAAGTCTGGGAATAAACTGGCAACTTCACAAGCCTCAGAGTAGGACAGATAGAAATACCATTAATTGATTCACTCATTGCCCAGTGCTACATCACTGCATAACACTCCAGCTGTGACACAGTCTAGAAAGACACATACTTCACAACTTCATATCTGGAGAGAAGACTGCCCATTGAGGAGTTTTCCTCCCTTCCCACTCACCCTGGAAAGCTGAAAGGCTGACACCAGTTAGCCATCGGTTTCTCCAAGAGCTGGAAAGCAGAGAGGTGGAAATGGTGGCAGCCACAGCTGCTCCATGACAGTGCTTCTGGCAACAGATTCCCTAATAACCAAAACCTAACAGCACTGGAGGTGGGTAGCTAATTTTCATACAAAACAGACAAGGTTCAAATTAGAAAATTTGAACTAGGAGGAAGTGTCACAAAGCACCTTCTGTCTATACAAAGGCTCACTATTTACTAAAATACTCAGTAGGAGAAAAGATCTGAAGAAAAAGGGGGAGAAAGCTTATATACTGGAGGGACAACATTTCTTGCTGCTTAAAAACACAACCTTTCACGTAAGATAAAAAGTTCAGGTCTAGACACAATCAGGTCTTTCCTGCAAGCACAGCCACGCATTTGCAGCATGTTGGGAAGTGCATCGAGGTACTGTCTTCAGCCAGACTAAGGCGTGCGGTCACTCTTTAAAAGCCAGCTTTCAAACCAAGGAATGAACGAAGCAAAGACAGTGACTCTATGCAAGTGATTTCTTTCAAGTCACAAAAAAACATAAGGAGGCCTGAAAAACACAAGGTCTATTACGACCAAATTTGTGTATATAGCATCCTCTCTTAAGGACTAGGAAAGGCTATTGGATACAAAGCACCAAGAAAGTTATCCAGTTATTACTTGATTTTCCCCCTTATTAAAACAACCTTCCCCTTTGATATCTCCTTCACACAAAGGGCCCATCTTTCTTTTCAAGGCTGCCCAGCCAGACCCACTGTCTCCATCCTCCAGGCAGAAGTTTGCTGTGCCACTGCAGCACAGCCCTGCATGTAGGTGAGGAAGGGACAGAGCAGTACAGTGCTACTGCATCATCAATCTTACAGGCAACAGGAGCATAACCTCCACTGAGTATCTGTCCTGCATCATGCTGCAGGAAAAAAAAAAATCAAGATAGAAAACTGGAAAGTACTCTCTGCTAATTTTCACACCAACATGAAATAAAGTTCAACAAATGGAGAACAGCCATTATGGGATTTTGAGTCACAAGCCTCCTGCCCTGGCAGGAAAGGATGGGAAACAGTGCCCCAGTCCTGTTCTAAACAGTGTTCTGCATGCAGATTTGGGATTTTCTTCTTTTCCCTATGCCATTAGGCCCTCTCCATTGATGACAATTTCTCATCTTGATTCTTCACACACACAAAGTTTATTTTCCCATCACAAAGAAAACTTGACAAAAGTTTCCATGCCCATCTCATGCTTCACTGCATTTAAGTGCTTCCAGTGAAGGAGGAACAACCATGGACCTGACCTACTCCACTTCAAACTGCACTCTCAAGAGGTCTGGACACCCAACTGGGTCCTCTCACAGCTGTCCGGAATGGCAGCTCTTCTTGAAAATGGTTCAGGAAGTGTCACAAAGCACCTTCTGTCTATACAAAGGCTCACTATTTACTAAAATACTCACTACAAAGCTCAGCCAGTGTTCATACTTTGTCGTGAGGAATTCACAGGACATAGCTCAAAAGTGGAATCCTAAAAACAGCCAGGTACAGCTGAGGTACTGAGAATGATGATCAAATCATGGTAAAGCAACTAAGGAATCAAGTCAGAATTTAATGACACCAATTCAGAACTGCTAATGCAGAGCAGCAATATTTACCTTAAGGTAGCTTTTCATGTTTGACCTGCAACCATTACTTCAGGAATATCAAATTTATACACAGCATACTCCAAACACAAAGACAAAGCAATTCACTTACTTAAACCTGTAAACAAGCTTCCCTGAAAAATACTTTTTTTGTTTGTAAACAACAGTTTCACTCTTACATGCTTCCACAGGAAGGGGAAGCATGTACCTTTATCCTCCATTCCCACTGCCAGCTATACATTCCTGCTCTTTTCCCAGCACTCAGTACACCTGTGTGGCCAACCAAGGTCACCTACAGCTGAAGACCAAACAAAAAGCCCTGAAAGGTTTTCAGCTGGAGCAAGTTTTAGGAGTCCTCACCTTTTCCTAGGTCTTAGTTCATTAGCAACCTTCATTTCAAAGCGCTGAACACATAATTTTTTATCTCCTGCCCTAGACATAGATGATGCAAAAACACCTCTCATGAGTTGAGGATTTCATTTGATTGAGCTTGACAGCAGCAATGCTGACAGGCCATTAAAACAAACAAAACTAGAGAAAGGAAAACTAGAAGCAGAAGCCTTTACCTTTATAATTTTTCCTCCTCAGTCTCTAGTCCCTCCACCATCTCCCCAGCATTTCCACCAGATTAGTCAGCCCTTTACCTCATAACTAACAAACTAAGCGTGACTAAATGTATTAACAAGATAGCAGCATTAGGAGTGTTAGTTCTCCAAGGCTGGTCTCCTTGCTAGTTAAGCCATCATTCCTCCTACAAAATCTCTTAAAAACCAAGTAAGAACTTCCAGCTAAATGCAGATCAAGTTCTTCACTACCTACACTGTTTAAAGGTGCAGCTATATACACATGCATACAACAGTATCTGATATAATTTTTAAATCCGTATCAAAGCATCATCAATTGCATATAAACTTCATATGCTTTCTCCATAAGTCAACAAGCTCAAGTAGAGGCCAGGAAGAAAGAAGTGTTTCAGTACCACACCATGTCTGCTAGCCATGTTTCAACAGCAGTCCCAGAGAGGTTATAACTGGAGTTGAACACTGACTTGTTTGCTTTATAGACGCCAGGAGCCACACACAGAAAATTGCTCACTTCTGAAACAAATTACTCTCAGTTCAGTTTCTCCAGAGGTCAAGATAATTATGTCCTGGTGTATTATTGCATTCACCAGCACTACCTGGTAGAGGCAGCGTGCCAGCCCTCAGCTGCTTTAAAATGAGGCTCAGTGATAACCGTACAAGGGAACAACAGCTTTTAGAGTTCACTCCATGGAGGGTGTTTCCCTAAGCTGTCTGAAGAGTGACTATAGCCACCTAAGCTGCTCCAGATTCACCTTCTGTACAGTCACTCCTTTGTCCTCCCATCCCCACCTCGCACACCAGACCCAAAGGGGAGCAACAGAAAGCCCTGCAAGGGGAACTCTGTCTTCCATCATCTGCTCTGCTAAAAGCACGAGACATCCCATGTACACCCAGCAAGAACAGGGGAAACACTTCACTACTATACACAGTTAGCAGTAAAGTCAAACAGAAGCATACCAGCTTTCCTTCACAGTTTTGCTACACCTGGTATTTCCTCAAAGACAGCAATGCTGTAGCTACACCTCCTAGACTGTCCTGCCAGCCCAGCAGCAAGGGCAGAGCGGTAAAACAGAGATCCGTGTTTTTCCCAAGACTGACAACATCAAATAAAGTGGGGCTGCCCACTGTCACAGGCAAGCCAGTTTCTTCCTACTTTTCCCCCAAACACAGGGCTGCACTTGAAAAATTAAAACATTAGAACATTTTCAACATATGGATTTTTATGACCAAAAACCTCAAAAGTAAAAAGAGTCAAAAGGTCTCTCTTCAAAAATTAATCCTGGAATTAACATGATTCATTTGAAAACTTACCAAGTGTTGTCTTGTAAGAATTATTATACACAAACACCTGTAAGGAACCAGCTATTAATAGTACCAATGAAACCATCACACAAAAACAAAGAAGTGCTACTTGTGGCCCTGTGATTAAGGCTGTGTCAGCAGTTTGATTTCCATGACTTTAGCACCCAGCTGTAAAAACGGCCTTCAGTAGAGGCAAGCTTATTGCGCCAGGATCCACAGGAGCACAGTTTCTGCTTTCACTGGGTGAAACACAAGAGCCAACTGTGTTTTAATACATAATCTTCAAATAGGAAGATCCAGAATCTGCAAATTGTTTTGGGAAATAATTATTGCCAAACAGGGCTACACCTTGAAAGATAGTTTGATAAATACCGCAAGACAGAAAATTGGTAGAGCACAAGAAACAGAAATAAGAATTTGTGATGTTCTGTTTTGGCATACATTCTTCAAGAATTAAAGGCATTCCAAAGAAACTGCCTGTTAATGCACTTTTCATAGCTATAGATCTTTGTAACTTGGCCACCTTTAACTTAAACACAGAACGGCATTAACAGATTTATGTTTCAAAAGGCACCATTTGAGATTCCTCAAGCAAGCAATCCATAACCAAATAAGCAATGATTAGCCCTGTGCATTCACAAATTAAAAGCCCTACTTACACTGACACAAGACCCACATCTGACCCAAACAAGCAGGAAAAATGCAGTATTTCAAACATATCTTAGGGGATGTATTACTCAAGGTCCTGCAATAAAATAGCATCTTCTTTTAAACAAAAAAAAAAAACCAAAAACCCAGAGTTAAACCCTAAACAGAATGTGACCACAACCCAAAAGAAACTTCTTCACAGTATGTTTTGATGCTTCAGGCACTGCCAGCAGCCTGAATTTTATTCTATTTTTCTATTAAATTTAAATTACAAAGAACATTACAGATTAGCTTAGAAGGCTAACATCCTTGACTGCCTCAGTATGGAAAAGCAGTAATGTCTCTTAGTTGCAATAATAAAATAGTTTAATTAAACACTGAATTTTAACAGTCTGATTCCCACACACATTCATATGCAAATTATGAGCTATGTTTCCTCCATAAGCATAGAGACAAAGGAAATATAGTCCTGCTGTAAAGCTAGAAAAAAGTAGTTTTTCATCCTGACCTTTCCTACATTTTTTTTCTTTATCTCACATTAAAACAAAGCCTCCTTATTGACACAATCAGAAGAACACGTGGAACTCAAAATACTTAAAGGCAATACATCTGACAAATTGTGTAGATTTATAAACTTGCCATTTCTTGATCTTTCCCAAACAGATGAGAGGGAAAACTGAACACACAGACAAAGTCAAATAATTAGCAAATGCCCCTCTCATAAGTTCAAATTATTTCTTTGTGAAAGCAATTGAAAAAAAAATTCTTCAAAGCCACCAGCACTGAAATGTCAAGAACTGATGTGGATGAAACTGGGGACATTTCACTGAGCTTACTGAATGGCTCACAAGATAACAGACCCTCACTAGGAATGTGGGCTTTACTTCCCTCAAAAGACTCGCTCTTCATTTGTTTTTGGTCACTCTTTCAATTTTCTTACCATCCAGGGCTATGAACTGGCCCTATCCTGCCCTTCAACACACAGAGACAATGCAGCAGTTGCCAACATTTGTAGAGTTAATACAGGGAGGTTTTACAAGGGGAGGATGGACAGTCACTTATACACCCAAGTACCAATAACCAACTCTGTAACAAAACTTTTTGGAAGCAAAACCACTCAATTTCTGCCTGGAAACTTGGTTTAACATCAAAGTCACAGTACACACACGAAAGCAACATAAGACATTACTGAGATAAGGCAAACTGAAAAATCAAACACACTGGTCAATTCCTCAAAACACAAAGAGGATCAGGAACAGAAAGGCTCTGCAGATGATGCTCAGGAGGCAAGCAAGGATGGAAGCACTGGTCCTCTTCAAATTAACTCCAAAGCAGCAACCTTACAGTACCTGTAAAAGTACTCAGACCCCATATCTTTATTTGCATATAAACACATTTACTGTGCAAGATGCTTTTACTAGAAGAAACAATTCCAGTAACCAAATTCTATCATCTTTGTTTATCCTGTAAAGTGCTTTGTATAAAATAAATGTTTCTTCATTGCAAGATGAGGTACTACTCAGGACAATAAAAGTGTAAGTCCCATCAGGTAGCCACCCTAAGCACCTTTCACACTGAGCAGAGCAGATAGGGAATGCAGGTGCTGTGAATTGTATTGGCTATAAGCCTAAGTAGGGCACCTGCATTTGCTTAAACAAGCCTGGGCTCTCACTCACTGAAACAGCTGCCTAGACAACCTGCTCAGGTGTTGAAACAGTTAAGTAAGAAGGTTCCCAGCTAAGATGACAGAATCCATCACCAGCAACACCTACTTGTATAAAGGAAATGAATTGGATTCGACTAATTAATGGAAGTTCACTATCACATTTTGAAGCCACACCAAGTAATTCTGAGAAACTCAGCCTACATAACAATTATCAAGAGTAAGCTCTTTTCCACCACTGCAGGTACCCATTACACAGCTTCCCCATCAGTTAATGTATTTCAAATACATGTGTACATTCTTATTTCCTGCTTCACACACCTTCATGTCTTCTAAAGATAACTTAAACCATCATTTTGCAGTTCTCTCAATTTATCAAAATCAAAACCATGATATCACTAGGGAATTTCTGTAGTCTTGAATTTGCTTTCAATTTGCCAAGTCTGCGTTGCACCTGTCCTTAACTGATCAAGACAGCAGACAGATGTAAGATCCTTTAATATGATGAAAACTAAGAGTTTGCATGTGACAAAGCTGAATTGCAGTCAAAAAGGAATTCGCAATCAGTATTCCGCTATTTGAGTTACTCTCAAATTTTAAGAATAATCTGATCTCTCCTAATGTTTAAACAAGTAAAGCTACAGGCAATAAAATAATTTGAAATTCTAGCCAGACTTCACAAATCAAAAAGAGCAGCATAATAATGCATTTCTACAAAGATGGCTTCTATAACATGAATCAACTGTGATCCAGCATAAATAGAGTGTGAAAACACAATGATGATACCAATGAAAATACAGCAAGTGTAATTTTTGAAGACAAAGTCAGTCTTAAGATTCTTATTCTTGAATAATGAAAATCTCTCAGATTAGTAAAAAATTCTCTTCTCACTGAAAAATGCAGAAAAAGGACTTAAACAATTACACTATATATTCAACTTTAAAGTGCTGCAATAAGAACATAGAAACATTTAATATATATCAGGTGACCCCAAGAAATTAAACACATGAAGCAAAACCACATAGTCACAACTTTTCAGACTCGGATCAGCTGCAAGTATGACTATTTTCCTAAAATGGACGAGCAAGAGCATAAAGCAAAGTTTAACTTAATCTTAGTAACTTCCTTGCCTTCACATATCAGAACAATTCTCCAACTTTATTTTGCCTTCAAAAATAAAATTACATATTTTACTGAGCCTGCAGATCTACAACCACAGAGTCCCCACTGCTTTTTCAAAGACCAGCAAGATTCTGGAACAGCTTCCAGTATCATTGCAATATCATTGCAAAGACTGAGGGGAAGAAAACCACTTTTTAGCCAAGAAGCTGTAAAGGTTTGGTCTTCAGCAGAGCAATGCTTGACCAGTAACAGTCAAATCAGCACCACAAAGAATCTTCTCAGCTACACCTTTTTAAGCATGCCCATGGAGCAGAGAGACCTCAAAGAGGCACCTAAAAGATGGAAGAGTACACCATTTTGCATGCAGGCTTGAAGAGTTCTGTATCCCTTTTGTACTGTTTATCTTGTAGTATTTTAATAGTATTTAACTTCAGAGGCAAACAGCATGCTAAATTTTGGCAGGAATACATTGACAGACTATTACTGTGTAATCATGGAAAGAATTACATTGACATCAAAACCACAATTATTTAGCTGAATGAAATCCAGACAATATACCCAGAAATTTTGGCTTTCAAAGCCAAACATGCTCCAAAGTAATGTTTATGCTCTTAGAGAGGATATCAGTGCTAAAGAAAGCAAGGACAACAATCAGCAGCCAAAGATATGGTATCTGTTTCTTATCCTTTCAACAGAGAAATCTCAATTAAGAGGAAGCTGTGGGTCATCACCAGCATCACTGATGAAGGCACACATTGCTAATGCATCTGAAGATATTCTTCATGGACCAAGCAAATGCTAGGAAAAAAAAAATAAACAAAATAACCACACTCCTGACAGCATGCCTGTAATTTGACAGATAGCAGCCTCAACAGTCAGATAGTGCTACCCATTTCCAGAATAGCAGCAGCAGAAATCTACAGTAAGATTTAGAGTAACAGTCAGAAGGTACTGCAGCATATCAAACTAGAAACATAAAACTCAGGGGGAAAAAAAGTATGTATGGGAGCAGTCAGAAATATTTCCTTCTTGACTTTGGGTTTTATTTTCTGCAAGACATATGCACCAATCTATACACCTTGGGAAAGACTTATTTCCATTCATAAAGTGGTAAACGTCTTCAAGGTACTTCTGGCACAGCTTCAGACATCCTAAGATACAAATAAAAAAACTGTCTACTGTTTTCTAAATTGGGGGCTGGGTGGCTTAAAGCTTCCTTGCAGTACGGTGATATGCTACCTCAGACTGCCTCTGAATACACAGGAACAATTACCATTTACCTGAGGCATAATCAAGAGCCAAGAGGCAACTCTTTAACAGCTGTGCAGGTGTCACATATGCAGCAGAAACAAGGCATCTTCTCATTACAGCAAAAGCACTCACCTAGACACTTGACGTGGTATAGTTTTTCCTTCTGCATTAGAATTCACCACACAGGCTGTAGGAATTCTCCTTTGAGAAGAATTTCCAAAGTAGTAAATTGGTCAAACGACAGCTGAAGAAAAGCCCTGCAGAAACATTTTCTAAAATTCGACTGTATCTTGCAACACTTAGTGGTTAGATTTTTCTAGAACAAGCATATTTTTTCCCCTGTTATGTCAAAGGTGTTCTAGCCTGGCAAATGCAGCACAAGCTGGTTTATCTACTTGGATACTCTTTGAAAAAGGCCAAGATCTATGGCATTCCACATCCAAGGCAAGCACCACTTTGCAGCTGACACACACGTTGGACCAGTGGGCTTAGCTAAGCATTGTAATGAAGTAGCTGACAACATCACAAGTAACTTTGACTTGTGCAAATGCACCATTATTCATCAAAATGGAGTTGTCTCACGGTACACAGTATCTAATGTTCTTCACTGAACTAACTACAACCATATCAAAATCAATGAATGTGTTTTTACACTTTTCTTACTGTCAAATGACACTGAGTTACAAGGAAAAATTCATATTTCCCATTGAAAAAAAAAGACAATAATGAGACTTTAACAAGAAACACTCCTGAAAAAGGAAACCTGTCTTTGGTATACTGATTTGCATACATTTGTGACTAAATTAAAATTGTTACAACATTCAAGTTGTATATGAGGAAATTCAGTTGCTTAACACATGTGAAAACACAGGTGCCAAAAGATAAGCCAGTTCAGATCAATTTGTTTGGCAGCCTTTACAAAAGCTTCATTGTGGATTTAGGTTGTAAAGCCTGTGAACACCCTCAAAAGGAACAAGCCATAAGGCCTTCGAGTAATAGGAACAGGAAACTGGAGAGACTTCCACTCTTTCACCTCACCTTCTGTGGTTTTGCTTAACTGAAAAACTGACATAACTGCATCCTCCAGATCAAATACACACAACCCAGAGGAATTCCTTAGCTGAGGTTCTGAAAAAATAATCAGTGGATTCATATGAAAGAGGCAGGAGGTGACAAAAATATTAAAGAGAAAGAAAATATTTTTATTTTGCTCACTTGGCTAAAAAGCAATCAAAGTAGCAAGAAGAGATTTAGAGCAAGAGAGAACATACACCTGTGAAAGAGGAAGCCAGAGACTGACCACGCTGCCACCTTGCTCTTGTGCCGTCATCCACCCAGTGCTTCAAGGAAGTTGTGCTTTCCAAAATAAGCCCAAGTTGTGCTGCGACAGCGTAGGAGAAACTGAGCTGACAAGCTTGTAAGAACAGTCACTTAATCAGGACTCTACTCCAGACCAAGAAGTCTGAAGAAGCTGGGATAAGGTTGCTAAGAATTGCCAAGAGAAAGAAAGTACTTCCTGCCTCCCAGACTGAATGAAAGCATAGGTAAGTGCAAAGAAACCCAGCCTTGGTACTCCTCAAAGACAAGGTGTCTTGTCTTGAGCAACAGGAAGCACCACTAGGATGAACACCAGTATCAGAACTTCACTGAAAAGCCTTTTATTCAACCTTTTATTTATTATTTATAAGGACCACAGTGGCAGCTTTTGATGTGTTTCTCACACAGGCCATCAGCAGGTTCAAGTACTCCATTTTTCCTTGCCCTTCTGCATAGCTAGCTATTTTCTACGAAACCGACTCCCTTGTGCAGAAAGCTCAACAGACAAAAGGATCTGAAAGAAATAATCAGAGGGAAAAAAAAAAAAAGACCATAATTTAGTGGTAGAAGATCAAGTCACATGGAAAAGATTTTTACAAGTGTCCTCTATTCAGACTGGATTGGCTGTAGGTACATGGAGAAGAGGAGGCTGTAGCTCATTAAAACTTTAGGAAACAAAGAACTACAGGTTCTGTCTATGCCAGCAGTCACCAGTCTTAATTAAATTTTAAAATTCCAAAACAATTAAAGATTAAACAAGCTGCATGCTGCTGGCAATGGGGTATTCTGTTCTGCTGGACTGTCAGTCCACACAGTAGTGGCAAATAGCCCCCTAAGCACAGCATCAGATGTCATGAGAAGTGTTGCCTGGAGGAGGCCATCTTCCCAAACCCTATTTGGTCACCATGCGTAGATGTGTTTCATACCTCAGCACCATAAACATGAACTTCAGCATTTTCTTTTTCCTAGAACACTTTCAGTATTTTATCTACATTTACAGTAGGTACACATCACAGCATACAGTACCTTATGATTCACTTGGTGTTCTCAATGTTTTTCAATCCACATCCTGCATACATCATGTTCAAACACAAGGAATCAAACTGCCTGCACTGGTCCTCGGATTGAAAGCCTGCTAGCTGAGCCAGGCTACGAGAACTTCCCTCTCCAGTATACAACTAAAGGACAGACTTCACTGGCAGTCACAAACACTGAGCAAAGCTGTGCAAAGGTGGAAAGAAAAAAAAAAAGTTAACAGATTAAGGCACACATGAAGTAATCCTGTATCAGTAATACTTTTTACTGTGAATATCTTCTAGGTAACTTATGTTCAAATGCCATCACTAACTGCATTATTCTGAAATGCAATGGAATACATATGGGCTACCCCAGGCAGGCACAGAGAGCAGCCAAAGTCCTGGACTCCCAGTCCTAGAAGAAGGCAAAAGCCCTGTCAATCTGTATATGCTGGTGTAGAGTATAAACCATATGAAAGAGTAAAGCATTGAACCATGTATTTATAGATGGCTATTAATGCAGACTTTGAAATAGTCTATCTAGTAGCCCTCCTCTTTCCAAAAGGCAGTCAAGGCAATCAAATATCCAGCATCTTTGTCTAAATAGGGTCTCTGTTTTCAGAAAATATTCTAGTCTTCCACTTCAGTATTTATTATACTACTTTACTCAGTAAAATACCTTTTTTCTCAACAGTTTTGGGTAACAATCAATAGCAGCACTTTTCATTTACATCCTGTAGAGGGAAAATACCTGGAATTATATTTTAGGAAAGCTTAGTTTCATGCCAGAGCCACTATTCATTCGCTGCAAATTATTTTTAACAAGCCCCTTATGCCATCTTGTCACAAACTGCAGGTGGTTCCACTTCCAATCCTGTGGAGTGGTCATAATATCATACAACCTTATATTGAAAGGGACTTCTGTGCAGTTCAAGACCCCTGCTGAAGACAGGGTCAACAAGTGCAGGTTGCTTAGGGCCATGTCCAATTTGGTTTGGGTACCTCCAGGGACAGACACTCAACTTCTATAGGCAGTTTCTTCTGTGCTAGACACGCTCATCATTTAAAACAAACCAATCCAATAAAAGCCACCCCAAAACAGCACATACCCTCCCAAGTTTCAAAGAAATATCTTGCATTTAAGTTTGTGGCCAAATGAGTATTCCTACATCTCTGCATCCTCAAACTATGATAAGGACGTTCAACGCACATGAAATCCTCATTCAAGAAAACTCTTGGCTACTTAGAGACAGAAACTGAAATAGAATACTTGGCTTCAAACAGGACAATATTTGTTTAAATGAACAGGCAGCAATACTAATATTTAGCTTTACTCAGAAACTAAGACTATTTGTTTTAATGAAAAGGCAGCAATGCTAATATTTACCTTTCAGCAAAGATTACCCTCCTATTTCAATGCGAAAAATCAATCCCTCCGATTTTATTCTTTTCCTGGCAAACCAACATCCTGTCTCTGCTACAACAGGCTATAATGTTTCGCTACCTGTGTTTTTCAGGTATACACACGTTCTCCAGTGACACAAATTCCCACCTCACCATTTGATCACAATACTGAAAGAAGCTTTTGCAAACATTGTTTAACTGTTTTCTATGCAACTCTTCTCAAAGTAACATTTATTTTATTTTAGCCACAGAATAGCAAAGAGTTTTGTAGTATGCGACTCCATACCAGCTATTCATTTCAGGGTTTTTTTTAATACTAAGCAATGACTCATGATCTGTTATTACTGTACTTTGCCCCACTGAGTCTGTCTTGCTCAGTTTCATCTTAACAGCCAAATTTTTAAAAAAACAAACACCTTGACCTCAATTTACAACTGCAAATCATCTCAGTAGCTTTTTTTCCCCCCTCTTGATACAGTTAACCTTTCTCCAACTGTGAACTGTAACTGTGGCATGAAACTTGCAGTACACATGTATAAGGGTTCGGTGTGTTAGAGGAATAGCAAAGGCTGTCAGCAACTGAACTTTCGATACAAAAGACAGAGGCAGACCCAACGCTTTAAGCTCTTTTCAGGATTGGTTGAAAGTTCTGAGGTTGCTGCCTTAAGTTTTGCCAAAGGGAAGCTGTATTTGACAGAATTGCAAGCAAAGGAGCAGAGGCTGGAGCTAGTATTGTTGCTGTAAGAACTCTCACTAGGCACAACAAGAGACACAACTGCTCCCTTCATCTACCCTTTGCAATAGCCTCAGGGCATATACCGGCACTGAGCTCCAATGCATTGCTTCATACAAAACTGAGCTTTGAAGTGCCTGCTGAACTATCTTGGTCTACCTTGCTGTATCTCCTAGGAAAACACCAGATGCAGATATTATTTACTGCTCATAATCCAGGGGACAACTGGGAAAAGTAAAAACATCAACATATAACCTCATAGTTAGGCTCAGACAGATTATTTCTTGGTACTTTTCCAAGAAGTCAAATATCTAAATACTTCAAGTATCAGTATAGAAAGACAATCAGACTGGCTGCAGTGCAATAAGATATTCTGAATAGATATCTAAGTTGAATTTTAACATATTTAGTCATAAGGTCTAGAAAACAATGCTCTAAAAGTGTACTGCTTTAGTAGCTTCCTGATACAACCAACAAGCCATGTTTGCATAGCTAGCATTACGTTGTTAATAATATTAGTATTTGATTAAAAACTCCAATTTTTACAGAGTGACTCTTCAAGTTACCAAGGTTTGAAAAGTCCAGCATATTTATTTTGCATTGTGAAAACACTCATAGTAGTCATATTCAAGTTGTTTGAGATTTTTTTAAAAATGTATTTTCACTTATATATAAGAGGCCTGTTTAATTCAAAATGCTTCCCTTTAAATGAAGAAAAAAGTGCTATGCATTACTCACAAGTAGTCTACCAGCAGATCAATACCTACATAACACTTCAGAAATGTTTCATCCATCTAACCACAGGAACTGCCTCACTCTGGAAGTCATTTTGGCAAAACAGTGAAATGTGGTTTGTCCCACTGCTGTGGTGTGAGAAAGATAAGAGAAATCTCAAAACTGCAAAAGGAGTATATAACACCACTGCCTACATGCTTGGAGTTTCTTATCAGTAATGCAAGTGCTAGAATGATACTGATTTCACCATAACTCCAAGGGCAAATGCAGAATTTGTAGAGGTCAATACAACTGCTTTGATTTAATAGAAACTAAGGTTCAGCCCTTGGAGCCACAATGCCATTTAAGTCCTGACCACAGAATTATGAAATTTGCTCTCCTTTGTGGCCTCACCATGCATAGAGCAAACTCCTCCTGTTATTTGGCCAGAGGTCAAACTCCCCTTCTTATCAGTAAGACATTCACCCTTGCAGATACCTGTCCTCTAAACGCCTTCTATCCAGAAGAAAAGCAAGTCACCAGAACAGATTTCACTAACGGGTGAAGTTAAGCTGGCAAATGGCATGTGCCTCCAGTCTCTCGCTAAATAGAAGAACTTGTGCAGACAGCCCATCTTTCTCTGGCATGCTGTAAAGTCTCATGAACCCCATTAAAAGTCCCTTAATCAGAAGTTTCAGTTCTGCCATATCTCTATTTTATGTTTCAGTTAATAGCTGCATCGTCAGTCAACTGGTCCATTATCAAAGTGTAACTCTCTGAGCTCAACTCTTTCTCCATCCTAGAAAGAAAACCCCAACTTTTGTCAGCAGAAAAGGTGAACAATCCACATGTTCACGGTTACACAGAAGTTCTGAAAAATAATGAGTTGTCTGATTCCAACACTATGATTAAGCACACTTGGCATCACCTCAACTCAGGAAGGACTGTTACAGTTCAAGCAGCACCTCACTTGGCCCAAGAGCACTCTAACTACAAAAACCCTACTCCACAATTGCCCAAAACTGTCATGGTCCACATCCAGCTCAATACTTCCCTTTTACCTATCCTTATGTGCCAGGCCCTACAGGGCATTACTTCAGCAAACACTCTCAGAGCACAGTGGTCACATACAAACAAAAGCAGGCTCCTTATACAATACAACTGTGCCAGCTCGCTTTTTGCTGTAGCAGAAAGGGCACAGTTTAAATAAGGGGAGTTTACCATCCAATTCTGTTCTATACCACCTTCATCTGAAGAGATTCAAGCCTTATCTCCCACCTTGAAAGAGCACCAGTTAAAGGAAGAATGTGAAACAAGCCAATACTCCTTAGCACAGTTGTTAAAATAATTGCCTGGGAGAGAAAGTCTGAGCTCTAGCTTCCACTTCAGCATATTTGTACATTTTACACATGGTAACTAAGTTTACAAATATATTGCACCGTTTCTTCAGGGACAGGGAGATGCAAGTCTCCCTTTCTCACACAGGAAACAAAATCCAAGTCCCCCATTTCTGGGTGAGCCTCTTCAAAGATGGGTAAGGAACAAGTAGTACATGACTTTCATTAAAATTCATCTAATAAAATAGATGGACCAGGAATCCTGGCAGCAAATCTCAGAATTATGGAGAACTACAGGACCCCAACAAAGGCTTTTGCTAGCTCTGGTTCTCCACATGTTCCAATGATAAATAATATGCCTGTCAAAAGTTAAGCTAAGAAGGAAGCGCTGCTTTGAAAACAGACCAAATAATATAGAGAACACAGTACTGAAAGAATCATGGTGTTGTAGCTACAGGCCTCTAACTTACTATCTCTGATGAAGAGAAATGCACTTCTGCCAACAACCTGGAAGACTTTTCACACAGCACCAAAGAAGTCCTTGGGAAAGCTCTGACTGTGCTCTTGCTAGAAATAAACATCAAGCAAAAGTGTTACTACACAGAGATCACTAGTTTTTCCTCTTCTCAGACATAGTTACATCTCCTTGTCAAACAGCCCCTTGCAGGGTTCTCCCCAGCATGCTATTGGCAGACAGCTGCTAACCCATGAGAAGAGTGTGGACCAAAAAGTGTGGCAAGAACACATAACACCAGGCATAATGAGGCAAAACACAAGCAGCAGGTGAATGTTCAAAGCATAGTGCAGGTTCTCTCAGATAGCAGATGAAAAGCTAGTCTCTGGATTTACTCCCTCACAAAGAACCCGCTGGTTCTTCCACTATAAAATAGAGAGACAGCATTGACTGTCTCAGAGTAAAAGAGCAACGTGTTTGTTTTGACACATACTTTTTCACAGTGCTCATGGACTTCTCAACAATCCACATCAGCACCTCATAGCAAACATACCAGAACAAGTCACAGTTGAAGGGGAAGAAGTTCTTCCATGTATGAAGCTGTCACTGACTAAATGCAAGCCATAAAGTGCTGTTCCACTGGGATTCTAAAATGAGCCTCAATGGCTACTGTACATTACTTACTTAACAAGTTATGCCAATCACAGGAGATACACCCTCTAAGCAGAAGTCTTTCAGTACCAGCATCTTCCTGGAGCTAAGCAATGTGCAAAGAGATCAAATTTTTCCAGGTAGTGGGAGGTATCTACATTGCAAATAAGATGTTCCTCAAATATGAGTAAGCATGTCCAGGACAACTTTTCATTTAGCACCCACTTTCCAGCAAAGTCAGAGCAATGCAAATCTCTGCGTGCACAAACAGTCCAACCAACTATCCCAGCTGCCTACTGGAAGTGTAGTAGCACAAGCCACAAACTGCACATATCAACCCTCCTGCACACCTCACCAGGTTAAAACTCACCACCACCATATCTTTTTTCATCATGCAGAAGTTGCTCCAAGGGAGATTGTGATTTCTTTCTCTTTCCATGCCATCTTTCTCCTGCACCTTCTGCTCAAAGCATCAGGACTCTGAGAGCATCATTATCCCTATGAGCAATATAGCCAAAAAAATTGGAGACTGCAATGAACGTACACGAATACAAAACAGGTGGCCTGGGGAAACACTTTTGTCATCCATTCAGGTTTCAGTACAAAGCAGGTACTGACTGTAACTGCATGGCTGCCCAGTGTGTCACGGTGAAAAGTGACAAGCACCCCTTCTGAGTGATGAGCCTGATCAGGTCACAACCAATGCTGGTTGCCTCACACCTGCACTGGTACCTTCCCCACTGCAGACGTCAGGATGAAGAGTCCCAACATTGTCTCCTCGAACTCTTTCCTAGGTGCGGCTCCTTTCTCAGCGACGCTCACTTGACACCTCATCCCTGCACAGGTTTAGCTGATTTCTCAGGAATTCCTGGTACAGACTACTATAAGACAGTCCAGACACGAGACATAAAAAGCACTGCACCCCATCCTGTTCACACCAGTTGAAGAGCACTACAGACCCCCGGGGCAGACAAGCCCAACCCACGAGGGGGTCTGTCCGCCTCTAATCCAGTCGGGGACTGTCATAGGGAGCATCAGCCCGGCGTGGAACTGGCGGCACCAGCGGGGAAGGGAAGCGGGCACCGGGCTGGGAAGGCACCCGCGGGGATGTGCCCTGGGGCCCGGGAGGGAAGGCGCCGGGCAGACCCAGGCAGAGCGCTCCGGTGCCCCTCTCCCGCGCCCGGCCCCAGCCGCCACTGCCGGCGGGCGCCTCGGGGCGGCTCCTCCCCATCCCATCCCCTCTCCCTCCGCCGCCGGGAGGGCACGTGAACGAGGGCAGCCCCGCCGTTACCTGCCCGGTGATGCCGGTGATCAGAGCCACCTTCCTGCCGTTCATCTCCTCGCCGTCGTCTCCCGGTGCGGCGGCGGCGCAGCCACACGCCTCCTCCGCCGCGGGCTGTGCCATCCTCCCGGCGGCGGGCGCGTCCCAGGTGCGGAGGTATCCCGGAGCGGAGGCGCGGCCGCCGGGGCGAGGCTCCCGGCGCTGGGGGCGGGCACGGAGGGGAGGATGCCTGCCGGCACCCGGGGTTACCTGGGCTGCCCCGGCCGCCGCCGCCGCTGCATTTCCGCGCTGCCGCCCCGCCCCGCCCCGCGGCGGCCGCAGGTGCAGCCCCCCGCAGGCGCGCTCCCGCCGCGCGGCCCGGGAGCGCGCCCCGCGCTCAGCGCCGCTCCCGCCGCGCCGCCCGACCCTGCAGCCAATCAGGAGCCCCGGAGCTGCCCTAAAGGGGCGGGAGCTGCGCCGGGGCCGAAAAGTGGCGCGGTGATTGGCTGAGGGCGGCGGCGCGGGGCGCGGCCGGGGAGAAGGAGCAGGAGGAAGAAGAGGAGGAGGAGGAGGAAGAAGAAGAGAAGGAGGAGGGGGAGTGAGGCTGCCCGACTTCCTGACCGCGTGTCGGGCCGGAGGATGCGCCGGCGGTGCTACGAGAGGCGAGCGGGGCCGGGCGCACAGCGCCCCCCGCGGCGCGGAGGAGTCACCGAGTACCGCCGCGGGGGCCGCGCCGGAGTTCCCGAGCGTTACCACCCTGGAAACACTTGGTTATAAACGGACCAAAGGCTCCTGGAAAAAGGGATTTACAAAAAGTGTTTCTTCTTCTGATGAGGCACTGGGCCAGCGCGGCTTTTACCGAGGCAGCAAGCAGGTCTCTGTATGTACAAGGAAGAAGGTGCCGGCCCATGATTTGCTCTTATTCCATGCAGGATTTCACATTTCCCTCAATGGGAATGGATGATGGAGCCTCTGCATCTGCAGATGACCGTCCTACTGTTAATTTTTCTATTATTGTGCTACATGATCAAAAATTTTTCAATAACATTGAAAATCTGTATAGTATATTTAAAAAAAAAAAAAAAAAAGCAAACCTTCAAATGGAACTGTACTCTCAAATTGTGAACTCTTTCTTGCATGCCGCTGCTCACTTTCTTGGTTTGAATTACCTTCCTGCAGCCTCACAGTCTGCGATGCCATGGAGTATTTGTATTTACAAACCGTGTATTTACATCACAGTTACAGAGTTGCAGGATGACATCCCAGTTGTACCATTTCTGCTTTCTCTAGCTGAAGCCTTTTCTCGACAAGGACATGAAGTTTTATCAAGTTGGCAACATCGACTACTATTTGTGCAAAATTACTTCTTCCCACTAAGTGCTTGTTTTATGGAGGTACAGTCTCAGATTCAGAGAGGAGGGGCACCACACATGAGCTCCACCCGCTAGTTTTAAAATGACAAGAAAATAAAAGGATATCAAATTCTGAGAGTTTCAGGATTTCGTATACCAGAAATGAGGCATAAACCTTTATTTGATTTGAGATTAGAGGGAGTTAGGAGCAAGTTTCCTTTCTTTACTTATTTACATACATTTACTTATTTACATATATTCTTTACATTTACATACATACATTTACATACATATTGTTCACTCTCCTGTTGTCTGAACTGCATAGACCAGTGCATGAGCTACAGCCTTAAAAATTGTCCTTTATGTGGCCAGATAAGCTTGTCAATTCTCGCTTTCTTTGGCAGTCCATTCATTGGCTTGCTTTTTTTCTTGTTCTGCTCAAAAAACTGGTGAGTCAGGCTGACAGTGTAAGCCCTGAAGCTGTGATAGAGGATTCCCCATCCCTGGGGCCTACATGTGCGGTTAAGAGCCTTTTTTTTGGTTACTTTCTCCAAACAGTATTTTTCCTACCCCAGTTATCCAGTGTCCCACAAGAGTCCCATCTGTTTTTCAGATGTAGCATTTTCCTTGACTATTTCTCCCAAAAATACTCTACTGAGGAGGGAAGTTCATCCATACCTTTCATAAATTACCTGATTAATCAAGTGCATCAGTTGACTGATGACCTTTTCCTTTGGTTTTACTCTCAGGTGACAAGCACCTCCTGCTCTTTCTCTATTCAGAGCAGTAGTTCTCCTTCCTGCTCACTCCTGAGAGATTCAGAACAGAAGAGTCTGCAATCTGTCACTTCTGTAAGGGGAGCATCCCAGCCAGGCTTAACTGAGAACACTTCACCAGGGTTCATACTTGTATTTTTTGGTCAATAGTAATACTAGAAACAGGCAAGTGAAACCAGACAGCGTATAGCCCAGTTCAAGTTCCAGCTGACTGAAGCTAACAAGAAAAAAAATAAAAATAAAAACCAAAGAAGCCCCCTTTAAGTTGTTTAAATTCCTGTCCCATTTATAAGTCTGGCAGTAGTAGTTATAGACACAGTTAGCCAGCTACCATAATCCTGCTAGGTCTGCCCCTGGCATGCACAGGCACATTCCAGGTTTAATGCACAAAGACTGTTCTGTCACCAAAGTCTTCCAAAGTACATTTACAGAAGAGACTGAAGGCTCAATTGTGGCCCAGGTACTAGATTTTACCTAAGTTGCTCTGGTGTTGACAGCAATTTATGTCAGACTGCAGCTGCAAACTGGACCATCAGCCCCTAGGGACTCCAGGATTAATATTCACTCTGAGTGCTAGGCTGCACTGATGTCTCCTTGCTGCCTCCAGCACCTGTACCATGGCATGTGCTACCTTACTTAGAGCTTTGTCTGCCCACCCCATAATCACTTTCTCACACGTCCATGTGCACCCAGCTCTGGCTTCTAAAACTGACAAGGCCCCATGGAGAGAGGAGACAGCAGAGTGATGCACATCTGCACCTCCAGCCCCCTTGGATCCCTGGAAGAGGAGATGCTTGTATGAGCATGGGTGTCCAGTAAAAGTTTTATGCCCAGTGAGTAAATGCTCTGACAAAGTCTCAGGAGACACAAAGAGCATTACCTTTAAAGCTGCCACGCCAAGAACTGAGGGAAAGAGATAGGACAGATGTGAAGAAATTTACTTGGTACTGGTGGATAAAAACAGTTATCTCAGGGAAAGAAGGGTGGAGAGCACAACTAATTGAAGTTGAGCTAGTTAAACCAGCAAATAATGTAAAATGAACAAAGAAGCAGAGAGGGAAAACTGGAGAGAAAATAAATGTCATTGAGAGTAAGGAAGAAAGGTGTAGTAGGAGAAAAGGACTGAAGTGTATTAGATTGCAAAAAATAGCACTTTAGATGTTAAAGAAAAGTGAAAAGGTGGGAGAACATCTATACCCTGAAATCTTATTGCACTTGAGTACCACATATATTGCAGTCCTGATGATTTCAATGGTTAAATGGGGATGCGACCACATTGCCTTTGAAATTTGGAAAGGTAACTATGTGTGGTTTAAGGTGGCTTGTGAACCAATTGTAAGTTCTTGCAGGAAATAAGCAGCCTTACTTCAGAAATAGAAATAGCTGATTTAAAATGCTGGCTTTATTCACTGTAAGACAAAGGTATCCCTGATTTTATTACAATAATAACATCACTCATGCTAGAGCTGTGGTAAAAGTTGACACAATACCACTGCATCCTATTCTGAACAGCAGTTAGAAGTTGTCATTGGACTGAGTGGAGCCCTCTTTCTCTGCATCATTCAGTGCAGCAAAGGGGAAAACTGACTATTTTTGTTTTTTCTGGGGTTCTTCTGAATGATCCTCATCCAATAGTTTAAGCAACTTGTGCATTATGGTGCTGTGAACTCCATTAAATCAGTGTCTATGGATCACAGAAGAATGCTGACTCAAACACATTTTCCTTTGCTTATCTGCGGCTACCAAATACTTTGGATCCTGTCCCCAGCTGTGAAGTCCACGGTGGCATCTTGGGGTTGTTCACAACCCCACCAGGGCTGGCTGGGGAGTACAGAAAAGGAACCAATGGAGGATGAGTAGCTCATCCAAGTGCACTGTCCTTTCTGGGGAGTTTTTGATTTATACAGGCAGGCAAGCAAGGTAGGCCCAGGATAAAGTACTGTAGAAATAGCTTCTTTTTCTGCTTCGTTGTTTTAAAGTAATGGCAGCAAATCGTTGTATTCATTGACTTTACAGTGCTAGGGAGCTGTGGGAAGCATGTGCAAAAGGAGCAAAGGGTGAGTCCAAGGGAGATCCATCACAATGTGAAAGAATGTGCAGATGTTGGCATAAGAGGAAAGGGAACCAGATATCATGAGGAAATAAGTAGAAGTGAAGAATGGGCAGAGGCAAGAGGATGAATGGACGGAGAGCTTCTTAATTGTTTTTCTAACTGTTTTCTTTAAGATTTGAGGGCATATGGAGTGATCCACAGCTTCAGTGCTATGACATGGTGACTTAGCAGGTGGAGCAGAAATAATGGGTTTCAAGTATGGTTCTATAAAGTGAGCCTCCAGGCCAGGGCCTGGAGATAAGCAGCACTTGGGAACCATTTGCTTCTCAGGTGGTTCTTTTGTGCCTGACAAATCTTGCACTTCCCAACAGGCAGGATTTCTTTCCAAGAGGACCTTCTCAGTGGAAAATGAAGTTGAGTCATCAGTGCTTCAACTCTGCAGTAGAGGGGGGAAGATTCCTGGCGGTACTGACTCCCAGCTGGAGCTCTTTGTGTTCAGCATCTGTGGCCTGTGCCCAGCCCACCAAGGACTAACAGCCTCCTTTTCCTCTTCACAAAGGCTCGCCTGCTTACTTTTGAAGGGGTGGGTAAGTGGTCAGACTTGCTCAATTCTTGGCAAAGATTCATCCTTTGAAGGGCAGAGACCCAATTCCTGTTGGTGCTGTCATGATGTGATTTTTACAGCACTCTGCACAACCTGGTGTTTCAAAGGCCAGTTCCAGTTCCAGTGCCATGTTGCTCTCTCACATCAATCTCCAACACTGCCAAGAAATTGTGCTACACTGCAGTAAAACAGATGGAAGAGC